TTTCATCATGCACTTCTGTAATATCTTTATTAAACTGTGGTTGATCAGATTCTTTTATTTCTTCTTCGATGCAGCTTTCAGTATTATCTTTATCTTCGGAAATGCTCACAGCTTCCGACTGAGATGCAACGGCAGCGTCGTCCGAAGATAATGGACCATCCATGGAATCCATTATCACTTTTGGCTTAGCCTTTGGATATCTAGAAATGCACAAGATAAATTTTAATAATAAAATACAGTTTTTTATCATTTTTTAGATCGCTTAAAGTAAAAATCTTACAATGTAATTGACTACAAGATTAATATTCGTCTCTCAATACACATTCTTGTTATATTATTTACTAATGTCTTTTATGAAAAAGAACACGAATACGAAACAGCGCAAGGATTCTTGGAGAATATGTTGTCTACTAAAGACGAGCAGTGCACCGAGAGGGTAATCCTCGAAACGTGCAGGAAAGTGAGCGAAAACGTATATCACAGATGCGTAAATGAACCGATATCAACAGCCCGTCGAGCTCTCGTACGCGGGTGACGTCTAGGTTAGGTGGTGCTCGCGTCGCCATGTTTCCCCTACCTGCTACTTGGGTCGGTCGTCGACCGGTCGACGTCGTCGTTATCTCAGACTCCAACGGGACGAAGCGCCGCGGATGCGTCACGTATCGGACGATACCGCGCGTCCATTCGTAAAGACGGACGTACGTTGCTTTGCCGGGAAACACGGCGAAGTGACGCGAGACGCGACGCCGTTGACTACGCGGACCGCGGACTACGCCGATCATACACGATGAATGAAGGCCGTGAAGGGCGCAGCGCGCGATTACGTTCGAAACGAAATTATCGAGAGTCGGCGCGCCGCACAAATTCCTATACCACTGCTAGATCGCGAACTTTGCCCACGAGAGTTGTGGAGCTGTGAGACCGACCGGATTTCCGGCTTCGGCCGTCACCTTACAATGGCCGCGTTCAGCAGACCAAGCCGCTCAGTAGCAGTCGAACGTGATTGGCTCTTACTTTTAGAACCAACCAATCAACGCAGAGTGTTGATAAGACGAACTCAACAGTTGTGTCTGCTGAACGCGGCCAATAAAATGGCGACGATACGCCGTATCAAGTCAAGGCCATTGCACGTAACAAAGTTTTCATAATCGTAAGGCCGTAAAAAAATAGACCAATCACAGTCGATTATTCTCCTTGAGCTCGAAGAATAATCGAGTGTGATTGGTCTATTTTCTTACGGCCTTAAAATTATGACTAAAACTTTGTTACGTGCAATGGCCTTCTCAGGGATCGTCAGGGCCGCGTTCGAAAACTTTACTCGGGTGCGAACTTGCATCCTTCTATCTTTGTTAATTACTTATTAAAAATTGAACAGAGACAAAACGACGCCGGTGTACAACCGAGTCGAGTGAAGTTTTCGAACGCAGCCCAGGATATACATATACATATAGCAACATTTTTAAACTTAAACAGCAAAATAGCTGAACGTAGGAGGTGAAATATACGTACTGCTTTGGGATATACAAATTTATTTTCTGTTTCTTCAAACGTAAAAGCGACCTGTCCACGACTTTTCTCGACTTTGGCATGATGAGATCAACAGCAGCACTTGTACTGGCAGATTCTCTTGTACTCGGCGATGGAATTAAAGCGAAAAATGTTGAGTCGTTTTCTTTCGGTTTCAGTATAATTTTTTTCTGCGGAATTACACGCATAATTGTAGCAGAGGTAGAAGCAGGATGAGTAGCGCCAGGTTCAATCGAAGTTTTAGACTTAATCGAAGAAGTAGTGCCAGACTTAATGGAAGTAGTATCAGGCTTAATCTTATAATTGTTAGGTGTAGCGACGTCTGCAGAAAAAACAGGAGTATCGACAGGAGCGGAAGGCAAAAATCTTGAAGGCACAGCATTGCTCTTTAAACATATCGCAAAATCTGCAGCTACGAAATGAGCACTACAGAGCACGTGATCTCTCGTTAGTTTTAATTCATTAGTTAGTTTTAAATTCATTCTAATGGCACTGAGCCACATTTTGAGAACAGCCAGACGATACCAAGGAAATCTGAAATATTTGCAATTTCTGGATTAGCACACATTAACCTTGAAACATTACGAAACTCAAATATATTTATCATAAATAATATATTGCATATTCTACTTACTTAAATAAATGAACGCCATCTTTTCTTGTTTTTCGGCACGTCGGAATACAACAATAATCAAGCGTCATCTTTCCACAATTTTCACAATTGCAATTTCGGAATTAGAAAATTTATTTCTTCGTCGATTTTCCAAAATTGGGCGCGTTCAGCAGAACGAACCGCTCAGTAGCAATCGAACGTGATTGGCTCTTACTTTTAGACCCAACAAATCAACGTAGCGTGTTGATAAGACAACATTCAACAGTTGTGTCTGCTGAACGCGGCCAATCTTTCTGTTTTTCCAGATCTTATCTATCCTGAGGAAATATCTTGTCAAAAATATCATTCAATTTAGAGAAGAATATTTATAGAAATATTATATTACAGAATATTTGTCGTTCCAAGCGCGTAATTTTCGAAATAAAACCCAGCAGTTCCGATTTACTCCGTCGTTTCGAACGTCGGAAAGAACAATTCGAGCGAGCGAATCGCCGCGAAAGGAAAAGGAGGCCGCCGCGGGGACGCGATCTGAAGCCTTGTGTCCACGATGCTAGAACTGCGTGTCCGAGTTTCGGTTTAAGCCAATCAACTTGCAGCTCTTACAGAAAAGCAGCAGTTTCATTGGCTTAAACCGAAACTCGGACGCAGTTCTAGCATCGTGGACACAAGGCTTTACGCTGTGATTGGACGATCGAGCCGCGGCGTGCGCCCAACTTCACACGGCGTTATCGCGGATCCGAACCGAAGCCGTCGCGTTTCTCTACGCGACGAAACGCAAAAACGATCCTCCTTTACGATCTCCGAGCCGATAACGATCGACATCGGCGTGAGCGCGTTCGATTACGACTTTTACGCTCGAATACGTGGAAACGCGCGAGAGCGTGCCGACGAGCGAGCCCACAGGGCGGCTCGGTCGAGTTCAATGACCGCTCGTGAGCGCCGAGGTGTTCGCAGACTTATTCGCACAGTTCGCACGCGAATACCGCGGTGGGTGTCGTACGCGTCTTGCGTTTCCGCCGATCCGTTTCGCAGCCACGAGACTACTTCTTGATTACTATATGTACGGGAGTGCGATGAGGGGATATCGCGTCTGAGGAAAGCGGGGCGGCGGGGGTCAGTCAGGTGGGTACCGCTACTACCGCTCCGTCGAGACGAGCGCTCGACGATCCGCTCGGCTCGGGAACGACGGTGCTTCTTCGCCACGGTGTCGCTTATACGGGATCAGCAATTTAAATAACTGTGTTGTAGAAGCGCACGAGTCTCTATACATCGCTTGTCCGCCGGCGACGAGGATAACGAGGATTGCGTCACCGCCGGCAGAGAGACAAAAAACAGTCGGGATCTGTGCTCGCGCAGCTCCGGAGGGAAATTTCACACTGCGAGCCACGAGGCGGACGAGGAATCGAGGAGAGGAGCAAAGGCGAGGATAGAGCGAGGGTGACAGCGACGGGGAAGCAGCAGGAAAGGAGGAGCGGGCACTCGAGTCGAGGCGCAAGGTGATGCGTGACCTGCGTGACGTTTACAGCGCGCGGTGACACGCGTGTCACGAAGCGGAGCGAGTTGGGGAAGGTGAACCGCGAACCGGAAAGAAGGACCGACGGACGGACGTCTGTGTCCACACACGCGCGCGCGCGAACGTACCCGACCTACTCGTGTTCAGGAGATATACGTCGCGCGTTCTCGAGGTGTGTTTATTGCGCGGCGCGCGAAATCGAGCGTGCCTCTTTGTACTTGAGGGTGCGTTGCGGGCTGATCTCCGGTCGTGCTCGTCGAGGCGGCACTCGCGATCGCAGGAACCGGAATCCGGCCTGCCCCGAAAGTACTTCTCTCTCTTTTTCTCTTTCTCTCTCTCACTCTCCCATCCTCCCTCTCTCTCTGTCTCTTTCTTCCTCCCTCTTCGCAGAGAGCGCTCACGCTCATCATCCAAGGAACGACGGCAACGACGCGTCGTCGATCATCGTTACGGCGGAGAAGAAGCGAGAAAATGGCCGACTGTTGGGTGCAGAATTCTGTTTGCCGGTAAGGGACCGCGACGGGCGTTTCGCGGGTCGCGTCTTTCGCGGGAAGATGCCCCCGCGGAGGATGTCGTCGCGAGCGAGATTTACGTACACCGAGATGGAGAGGTTAGCCGTGAGCGCACGTTTACGGAACAGCAACGTTCGATCGAGACGCTCGAACACAATAATATAAATATTGACGCTCGGCAGATATCCCATCTCACTGTGTCGTTACGAATCTCGCGACGATTTCAAACGCGACGGGTGTTTCTCGCAAGCACCGCGCCTACGGTCACATGTCTACCCTGTTCTCCTCACCGTCGCGAATCACCGTGCATTTCGTTTCAGGTACTTCAAGAATGGCTTTTGTCGAGATGGGAGTAACTGCCGGTATCGGCATGTGCAAGGGAATAGAAATGATGGAAATGCAAGTATCAACGAGGCAACGTCGACGCATAACTCTGCTTATATTGTCACTTGTCGCTTCTTCAAACAGGGTATGTGTAAGTTCGGTAGTCAGTGCCGTTTCCGCCACGTCTCAGGCTCAGGTACCGCGGACAGCAGCGCCACGCAAACAAACGCAACGGAAAACTCTGCCTCGGGTGGCCACTACACATGTTCGAGAAACAAGTAAGTTCGGGTATCCAGTTATAACGTTGTTGACTCGTGCGTTTAGCTGAATCATACTTATAATGACCTGTAATTATAGAAAAGCTGACAAGCGTACCGCTGAAGAATGGGTCAAGGCACCTGAGTTTGTACCTACGATTGGGTCCCCGGTCGCTGGATCATCCTCTATAGACGGTATGTCATCTGCTTCGGGAACATCTTCAAGTACGTCGATGCCAGTCTCGTACGCACAAGCCGTTAATCCAGCTGGTCAAGCTTCGAGCCCTTCAGATCCTCTGTGTCCATATGCGGAGGCAACTGGAATTTGTAGAAATTCAAACTGCACATATCTACACGGTGACATTTGCGAATTATGTAGCCGCGCGGCTCTTCACCCACACAATGAAGAATTGAGGAAGAAACATATAAATGTAAGGCCATTTCTTTGTCGTTAACTTACTAATTACGTTGCATTAACCTAAGTATTCTATGCTCTATATTTTATATGTTTACCTTAATGCGTGAGATAGAGATTAGAGGCAAATTAAACGTTTATTAAATTTCTAACTATATTTTCTATATATTTTTTGCTGAAATTATAGATTAGAGGCAAATTAAACGATTATTAAATTTCCAATTATATTTTCTATATATTTTTTGCTGAAATTAAGATATGCGGGATGGTTCATGTGAATAACGTTTTATTTAATTTTTATACAGGCTTGCGTGAAACAACACGAAGCAGATATGGAATTATCTTTCGCCATTCAACGCAGTAAAGAGAAATCTTGCGGCGTTTGTTTCGAGACAATAATGGAAAAAGCCTCGCGAGAACAGAGATTCGGTATATTGCCAAATTGCAATCACTGCTTCTGCCTAACTTGCATCAGAAAATGGCGCCAGGCCAAACAGTTCGACAACAAAATCATAAGGGCATGCCCAGAGTGTCGTATTCCCTCAGATTTCGTTTGTCCTAGTATGTACTGGGTGGACACGAAAGAGGAGAAGGAAAAGTTGATAAGAGATTACAAAGGCGCCTTGAGGTACGAGATGATCGATAATCTATCTTTGTTTCAGCGCCTTTTAATTCGTCATATTTTGTTTTTACAGTATCAAGGATTGCAAGTACTTCAACAAGGGTCGCGGCAAGTGTCCGTTCGGTAATAAATGTTTCTATCTTCACGCACTTCCGGACGGGACTAAGAAAGACGTGGGTCCACCGGTTCGACAGAGGCGCAACACCAGTGACACCGATATCGACATCCTGCATGTGAGTGTTACTTACAATTTGTCAAAATATATTTGTGTTGATCACGGATAAGCACGTTTCACTTAAAATGTCGTCGGAACGAACGATATAGAATTCTCTTGTCGAGCAGTCGAGCTACATCCGTTTACACATACTTTACATACTTTGCACTCTCTGTATATATACGCAGAACGTGAAAGAGCGGCTTTACCCTATTTACAGCAACTAATCTTGTGGGATTTCTTCGAGGAAAGGGACGAATCTCGTTGGATGTATCTCGATTTTGAAGATATCCCTTCTTTCTTCTCAGATTCCGACGATTCCGATTGGTCCGATGAGTTGCCGTTCGATTAGACGCGCAAAACTAGTCGACCGACACAAAACTGCCTTGATACTGTTATCATTGCTACTGTTATCATTGCTATGTCGATACCTACTTCCTTTATTATTCGTGCGCGGCTTAGCAACTAAGAAAATTACTAGATAATTAGCAAATAATTTGAATTATAATTCGGAGACGTTCTAGCTATACGTAGAAGAAAAAGCAGAAAAAGAAGAAAAATGTGCGCACTAAAATGATAATTTATTATATATAAAAAATGTTTAGCCGGCATCAAAATAGTTAAAACGCTTTCTTTTTTTTTCCTCGCAGATAATATCTTCAAGTTTTTTATTTCTACACAGGATAATGATAATAGTTATTAAAATGTTATTTCCGCAACAATATAGGAAATTGTATTACCATTTTATTAGAATAAATAAAGGTAATGTTTTAATAACTATTATCTTCAGTCATAGAAATAATCTTTTAAGTATTATCTATAAAAAGGATGTGTTCTTAATTATTTTAGTGGCGACTGTATACTTGTGTATAAACAATTAGAGATTAATAATCTCAATAATTATGGTGGTACATAGTCGAGCACAAAAAAATTAAAAGGCGGGAAATAGCATGGGCAGTAATGAAAATTTCCTTGGATATGCATCGTAACTTCGGAATCACTTTTGTGTAACTTGACCAATGCTCTACTAACCGATTGTTCTAGCAACTATTAATTCAGTGGTCCAAATTTCATCAGTGAATAGTCTATATATCGATATTTTTCCGATGTTCATTTGCTCGAATAGTAATATCGTTGGTTTTTTTTTTCTATAGCCGATACTAGTTATTATTGAACTATTCCACAATGCATGATCTGGAATACTTCTATACATTAGATCGAATCGTAGAATAAGCAAGTCGATCAATAAATAACCGGAAATTTTAGTTGATTGTCGTCAGTGAAAGATTTAAATAATCATTCTTTTTTTGCTCTTTTCCGTAAGCTGAAATGATATAACAAAATAGTTGAGAGGGTAGATTAATTGTAGCATTTTCGATTAAGGCTTTTTTTGTTTAAGACGAATAGATTAGATTTACTCTATTTTGTAATTTCAATAAACATTTGTCATTCAATGATGTTACATTATTAGATGTACTTAATCGACATATAGAAACTGTGAAGAATGTGCTACATGGGATTTAAACAAAACTTTAAATAATGCAAATTACTGTTTGAATCGATTTTACTGGGCTTTATTTGTACTTGTAATAAATATTTATAGAATGGGCATGTTTTGTGATTGCAATATAATATTGCGCTTGACGTAAATGATAATAAACACAAATCAGTTACGTGTGTCATGTCCGTAAATAAAATTTTAACACAGTGTTATTACAAACGTATGTTATATACATTCAGTAATACATTTCTTTTTCAAGCACAAACCCATTTATTAGTTATTGCAGTTACAAAATACATTTAATTATAACTTGTCGAAGGTTTACAACACTACTATTCACATGTAAAATAGGAAAACTGGACAACGATTAATTATTTGTGTGATCAGTGTGCATTGTCAGTTCAATTTATCACTAGTTCATATCGAAGGTACGATCTACAATTGTCGTCCTACCTCTTGCTATGGCTCCGCGAAAATCTTCATACATATATATAACACATTTCTTTAAATTATTACACAGTTGTATAGCGTTACTCGTGAATAATGGGTATATTCCTTAAAGAGCAAGTGTGCAAAGTGAATGTGATGTACGTGTAAGGATGTTGTGCGTGCAATTAGTGTGCGGTAATTGTGTGCGTGTGTATAAATGTGTGAATGGGAATAAGTACGAATATGGAAAAAACAAATATTTGTGAGTAAGAGACAGACTATAGGAATAGCATATATGCGGAATAACAACAGATGTAATTAAAAGACCGCTTTGTGTGAAGTGCGCATTTGTAGATTCGAAAAAAAAAGGAACAGTAGAAGTACGCACGACGGAGTTGGACCCACGACATAGAGCCATGCTGGGAATTCATCGTCGATCGTTTTTACATTTTATCGATTTAATAATAATAGCAACATGTTCCGACAACCGTTCTCTCAATATAGAACCATGATAATTACGCTTTGAAGGGCATAGAATTCTTTTGTGTAAAACTGACGAGATTGTACGTACGTAAAAATATACTTACACACCAAAGAGATATTACGATATTCACTCTCTAGCATTGAATATTCCGTGTGATGTCATTTTTTAACTTTTCGCTAAATGAGATCTTTCCGCAATATATTTATGACAAATAATCACGTTGTTCTACATATAGTTCCTGCTCGCACTTACAACCTGATTCGTATTCATGGTAGGAAGTGACCAGCTTTTACAGCAGAGAACCGTCGGTACTGCCTTTCAAAAGCTATGTGATTATAGAGTAATATATCGTTCATTGCGCTATAAAGTCAGTTTCTTAATCCGCCTCGACAAAGCGTTTTATCGGCTCGAACTTTCGCTATGCTATGAGAATATCGTTTATATATATTTCCCATAGAATTTCTATGCTGTTAATTTTATCGACAATTGTTAGAATAAAACGCTTTATATTGTTACCGGTAATGTATAATAGAAACTTTCTATGGTACGCTGTGCGTTTCGAGCGACTATTTTTGGAGCTACTTTCTTTAACAACCACAAACTTCCCGATGAGGGAAACAAAAATAAGACGCTTAAGCGATATTTGAATTGTAAGATAGCGGAATGTATGTTGATAAGTCGATTGAGAATTCTTAAGTCGGTAATTTTGTGAAATGATGGAAAATTTCTGATGGAAACTTCTTTAACGTTCAGTATACCAGTACATATCGCCGTTGTAGAAGGAGAGCTAAGTTATAACCGCGTTGAACGTTGCACGTATTTGCCATGCCGTCATTGCTACTTTTATCCGTCTCGGACTAAACGCGATGCTATTTATTGCATTATTATGCTCTAAATGCATGAGACGCGGGAGGAGAGGTATAATAAAATTAGGAGTTGACGTTTGTGTCGAGTCGTTCCACCGGCGTTCAACGCGGTTTGCCTTGACTCTGGCGATGCATTTTCGGAGTTAACTTTGAAGTTCACTCGCGGTACATAGTGATTCTAAAATCGGGATTCCACTGTGTGATTTTGGTTAATAACGCGAAGAGCGTGAGGACAAGGCCGATTTACTGATCCATTCGGATTATTATTCGAACGAGATAACGAACGAGATTCTTTAATAACTTCAATCCCATTCTCAGGATGGTTTCGTTAAGCTAGTTTAGAAATTACATAGAATTTACGGTACAACCGCGTGCGTTATTGTCTCTGCGTGCAGAATTCAATCGCCCAAGATTCTACCGCAAGTGTGCATTAATGCGAATTAATCGTACTAAACGTACCTGCATTGAATTACTGTATTGCGTAGTGACGAGTATTCTTTTTTTTCCCCTTAACAATCTAAATACGCTTTACAGTTACGTGATTCATTTACATAAGCTGAGATCGAGCGTCTCTACTAGTTTTTTCTGTATTCTTTTTTCTTTCGGCTCTTACAGTATGCAATTCTTTAGGATAACATTGTGCCGATTTGTACCATTTTATTTTTCAGCGTATTATTTATTTTTATTCAGCGTGTATTATTAAACGTGTATTTTATTGTGTGCCGGAAACGCTCAAAAGAGTCTTGCGAGGTGGGAAGGAGAGTTACACTTCGAGTTTTTTCCCAGGGGAGGTGATTTGTTGGTATTACGCTAAATTTCTATACGTAATTGAACCTTATATTTTTGTAACTTATCGCGTCGAACTACGTTATATGATAAAAAGGCTCTATAAAGCGGATATAATAAGATATACGATTAAAAGTCTTATATTTGTTAAGTAGCGCGTCACCATGAAAAGGTAAAATCGACGTTGAAAACATTGTTGTGCCACAGCTTGTTTCTTACGTCTTTAATAGATCTTAGATTATTGTGAATGTTTTTTTTTAGCCAATAAATAATACGTAGATCAAGCAAACTGTATTTTTACTGTATATAATGCGAAGCAATTCGCGAACGTTCGCATTATCTTCAACCATCCTTTTTACGTATGAAAGAACAATTTGAGGAAATTTAATCATTAAGAAACAGCGAGCTCTCTTTCCCTTTTTGTACTTTTCTTAATTGATATTGCGAAGCTGTATCATGTTTGCTTTGCGTCGCGTTGTCGCGGGCAAAGTATAATTGCAAAATTATCCGAGTATATTCAACGGTTTTTCCGATGACGTCCAATTAAAGTATGTCGCATGCCAGATATAATTCTCCTCTCGAGAACGAAATCTATAAAATATCGCATATACAAGCGCTGGTGAAACTGCAAATACAAAGATCTGCCATGGGCGATCACAAAGAGCACACTTTCTCCTGATAGAACAAAAGCAATTGTTTCTTGGGGAAAACGAGAGGGAGAAAGGGGAGTGCGCGATTGAATAATTACACATAATCGCGTGTCGATTATGTGTAAAAAAAAAAGTTCTGACGTGTATCAGGGAGTGTTTACTATTGCAAAATAGGAACGTTACGCATACGATATTTAAATCGCCACGTTCCCTCTTTCTCCCGCTGTCGGGGGTCCGTTGGTTTTACGTGTCTGTTCACTCCTGATAAAGTAGAATTAGCGATAAAAGGTCTATATATGCAATGTTATTAGAAATTATCCGTTGCAAGATTATCGGCTCGATCATGAAATTCGCGACTAAATACGTGAAATATCGCGTCGTTGCGTGATCGACGAGCTTTTCTTGTACGCGAAGGATAACGCCCCTGTGTTTTGAACGCTGATAGGGAAAAAGAAGCTAGGTTTCAATCTTTCAGTGGCTTTTTCAGTGGCTATTGTACGTTCGGCGAGGCGGGAATGCGTGATCCCACCTTCAATTTCGCTTCTCACGACGATATATTTTTGTTATTGGATGTAGACTAATAAAATCGACAGTATAAGTCTCCACGAGACTTCGGGGGTTTCGGGTGTCTTCATGCATTTCCCTCCTCAGCCGTTCCTCAATTCCTCAGTCACGGCGGCGCGTCGTCGAACGATTCTCGAGAAATTTATTTCGCGCAACGCTCATCCATTTTTTTTAAACTATATATCTATGCAATTAGAATTACGTTGACTCTAATGAAACTCGTCAAATTTCTCGTGAACGGTCGAGGACATAAATATCGACTCCGTTCTTCGGTGAATCGATAAAGCGTGAATTTATTGCGAGCCTGCTTTTTGTATTTTCGAAATTTGACTGCTGTCGGAAATTTAATCACGCTTTATCGTTACGTTTCTTATCATTAACGTCATTATCTAGGTGTTTCTCTGTGATACCGACAAATGCTACGGAATCTCCGAGGCTCGTGTCTGGAAATACGACGGTAGATGACGGCTGCGGTGTCGCATCCGTGGGAAACTGCTGATTGAGAGCTTCAGACGCGATTTATTTTCAGCGACGATTTGCCACACGAGATGACAAATATATTTGCGAGCGTTGTAAAATGTATCAAGCCGAGCGAGCGATTCGACGGAACCGCGCTTTTGCGTGAAAATTGCAAGCGTCCGCCGTTTGATTGAAATTTCCTGATCGTTAATTAATTTAATTCCTTGTAGTCTAAACTCCTCGCAAATGAATGAATGAAGATTTGTCCTTAATTTCGTTGAATCGACTGGTCTAACATGAATGAAAGAATTTTCATTATTTATATATAAAAATTTATATTAGAAAGAATTTACATTATTTAATATTTTAGTATTTGGAATTTTTAATACTTGGAGAAATTTGCGGAGACACCCAAAACTGTAGTTTGCCGATTATAATCGCGTATAGATTCAAATGCTTGAAGAAACACGAAAAGTCATAATGTCAAAATGATATCAAAATGATCACTCTAAAATGATTAGAATGATTAGACTATTAAAAATCACTTTAATGCCATTTCTACATCACTATCCCTTACAGAAATTTAATACTGTAAGTAATTATTTGGCTAGTGATTACTTATTTTGAGTATTAAAAGTACTGTTTTTAATGATTTTAATACTCAAAATAAGTAATTAATTACTAGCCAAATAATCACTTACGGTATTAAATTTCTATAAGAAATGTCATCATGACTTCTTTGATGCGTTTAAGAAGTTGTTGTCGCATTATTTTCTTTCGAAATAGATCACTTTTTTATGCGCAAATAAATTGTATTGCGAGTCTTATGTTTACACGTAATATAGAAGCGATTCGGGGAGAAGATCTTTCTTTTGTAAAGCCGGAATGAGTATCTCCTAATTCACGGCAACGCTTTGAATCACAACGCTTTTCCCCGCTCAAATATTTAGCGCGTCCACAAAAAACCTATATGGGAAATAAGTCTTTTATCGGAATCGTTAATATCGTTCGGCGTGCAAACACGTCGAAGCAATAAAGTTTCTTTTTCATCTGTCGCTTTTTTATCACGTAGATGTAGATCATTTTCACGTTCCGCCACGTGGAACGCGATGATTGCTAACGCTGAAAAGAGTTGATTGACGAGAGATTAACATCGGTTGTTCAGATAATTATCGCAGAATTATGATTAATTGTTTTGCCGAGCGAAAGATTCACTCCGACGTCTATATTTATGACTCTTTTTAAAGCGTTATTTTATGCGATTATTCTGAACTGATTGACTCGTGTCTTTTTTCTTTATTTTATTCAAATTTGTTGTTTGTTCAAGCTACGCAAGTATTGTGTTGATTTCTTTAATATCTTTCATGCTTCTTTGACATTCTCCCTGAGAAAAGGAAAACATTCCTGAGGGATTCGGGTCGTTTCCCCTAATTGCGAGCGGTATGCGAATCTCTGGCCGCTCCGGATCGAAAGTCTGGACAGAAAGGAACGGGCTCGAAAGGGACGGATGCCAGCAAAGGGGACATCCGGGATCGGATTTGTCCAATTGACGGAGCTGGAATTTCGTGCGACGAGCAACCACGACGACCGTCGTGTTTACGTCACTCGTTTGCGAGGCGCGACTTTGTCGCGCGCCCGGCGGAGCGCAAGGGGGAGAGGGGCAACTTGGCCGAGCTCACGGATTCGCGATGGTTAACTAGAACAGCAAGTTAATCCCGGCGAGCACGGCGAATTAGCATATAAATTCGTCGAAATTGTCCCTACATATGTATCCGGCGGCGGCGCCGGCGGTGGCGGCGAAATGGTGCCGCGAAATATCGCGGGATCGCTTTGAGTCGCGAGACGCGTCGCTTCTCCCGCTTTGTATGTATTCGCGTTGGCCCCCCTTTGTGCGCGTCTCTTTGGCGTGCGCAGCACGGATAGAATTCGGGCGAC